GGCTTTGCGCAGACGCATGCGTTCTTTTTATTTTGTTCGCGGTGCGAACACCAAGAGGAACTCAAAGTCAATGATAGGGCGGCTGACTTTAAAAATGCCCCCCCCTGCGAAGGCGCCGGGGGTCCCGCGCCTCAAGGCGAAAGCCGCCGAAACTCGAGTTCTCGCACCACTGTTACCAATGCTCGCTCGCGAGAACTTTCTCTGCTTAGGTCGGGGCGCCGCCGCGCTTCTGCGGACGTGCGAACACCTCGCTAACATGCGCAGAATCCAAGCAAGCGAGCAAAGGCGCATGACGCCCCAAAACTGCGTCACCTTCCAGCGCGAGCTCGGACCGTGCACGTCAACCCCCATGCCACTTCAGCCACTGAGGAAAATCGTGCTCCACGTTTTTTGCTTGACTCGCCTCGAAACCCTCGTGCGCAACGTTTTGCTGGTCGCGCGTCGGCAGAAGTCGCTTGGATTTCGTTTGCGGGGGGCAGGCGCGTGCGCGTTCCTTTCTTGCATCAGAGGAGCGCATTTCGAATGTTGAGCGCCTGGAAGGAGTTCAAAGGGCACACTGTCTTTAAATTTCATATGTCGGCGCACCTCGCCGAGCAGGTCGCAGAGATCGGAAACCCTCGGGCGCGCTGGACGTACCCCGACGAGGCGGAGAATCGGCTTATGCAGCGGGTTGTAAAGTCCCTTCATGTAGGTTCAACTTTTTACGTCAGGCTGCTCGAGAAGGTTCTTTCCTGATCGAGCGGGCTGGTGTACGGGGGTTGGACCATCCCTGAAGGAAGGGATTCTGCGCCCGCTGCAGTAGCCGTTTCTTCGCCCCGCTGGGGTAGTCCAGGCGTTCGCTGCCAAGGGGGCGACGCAGGCGATGATGATGATTACAGTGGTGTTGATGATAACGATTATGATGATGATGGTGATGATGATGATGATCACGATGACGATGACGACTTGAAGTTTCCGTTTTCGAGCGCGGTCGTGCTGCTGCGGATTCACGCTGGACCTCGGTGCTCGAAAAATGTGTCGTGGCAATTGCTTGTGACCCACTCATGTTCTGTCAGGTGTGCATTCGCCCCAGGAGACATCCTTGCCATTGGAGACAAGAGTTGCCCTTGGGAGGAACAGACGGAGGAGGAGGAGGAGGAGGAGGAGGAGGAGGAGGAGGAGGAGAGGGGGGGGGAGAAGGAGGAGGGGGATGAGGAGGAGGGGGGGGAGGAGGAAGAGGAGGAGGAGGTGGACGAGGAGGAGGAGGAGGAGGAATATAGCCTACAACCTTGAGGTCTGAAGCAAGAGCAGAGCCCTCTGGGAAGACCCCTCGCCCTTCTCTCGGATTCGGTGGCGACGGGGCGTGGGGTTTCACATATGCGATTTTGTGTCACCGCGCACCTCGCGCAGGAGAGGACGGAGGAACATGAGTTTCACCATGCTCCCCATCCCTCTCCAACCTCAAGCAAGCCTCAACCCCCAATCCAACTCCCAAACATCCCCCTCTCTTCTCTATGACCCGCAATCGTCCTGCTCGGGATTACACGGCCGCCCGACGGTCCGAAGTGTTTGGCTCTCGAGGGCGCTTCCCTGGCCTTCCTCGCCCGGGATGCCGTCCGAAGAGTGCCCCAAGCAGCGCCTACAGGGGGAACCCCTTAAACGCGAGATGTGCGTGGGGGGGGGGGGGCTTATTTTCTCATAAGAGGGGGGCGCATTTTTTGCGAGGGAGAAGGCAATGGCTCATGAGAGGGGGTGCTGTTTTCTAACAATGATGGTTTTTTCCTTACGTCCGAAGCCCTGGGGCCCGAGGGTGACCCCATGGGGTCGACTGCCTGGTCATTGGGGGAAGCACCCCAGCGAGAAGATCTGGCGGCAATCAGGGCCTCCGCCGATCACGTTCGCCACAAGGTTTTCGGCAAGGGTCGACCTGAGCGAAGTGCTCTCCATGATGTTTGCCGATGTCCAGTTCAAGATCATGTTTTACCTTCCTGTCGAGGAGCCTCGATCTCCTGCTCCCGTTTCAAATCCCCATCCGCCCCCCTTTTTTTCTCGAGGACGTCAAAGCTTTCGCTGTCGTGAACAACCTGTGGGCGGGCCCGATGGCCATTTGGGCATTGAAGTGTCTGCGCAGGTACCTCCTGCGTTTTTCCTCCTCCTCCTCCTCCCTGTGCCCCCTCCTCCTCCTAGATCCTGCTCCTGCTGTTGCTGTTCCTCCTCCTCCTCCTGCTCTTGCCTCCTGCCCCTCCTCCTCCTCCACCCCCTCCTCCTCCCCCTCCTCCCCCTTCTCCTCCTCCTCTTTGAGCTCCACGGGCTGCCAAATCCTGCCGTGAGGTACGGCCACAACTGGGAGCCTCCCCATCGAGATGTTCTGAGCTGGTTATGCCCAGAACGCAGGATCTCGATCAGTTGCGCTCGGCGTCGACGCTCGCGCGGAAATGAGCGAGCGCCCAGAACAGGAGGAGAGGAGGAGAGACAGAGGGAGGAGGAGGAGGAGGAGGAGGAGAGGAGCAGGAGCAGGAGCAGGGGAAGACAAGGAACCCAAAAAGAACACAAGGAGGACAGGCAAAGGAAGAAACGGAGGGGCAGGAGGAAACAAGGAGGAGGGAGGAAGACGAGCGGGAGGAAAACCTTCTGCTGCTGCTCCTCCTCCGCTTCCTCCTCCTCCTCCTCTCCTCCCCCTCCCTTCCTCCTCCTCCTCCTCCATTTTCTCTCTTCTCCTCCTCCTCCTCCTTCTTTCCTCCTCCTCGCTATGTCATTGCGTCTGCCGCGCGGCCGACGTCGGAGGGTCGGCTGTCTTTTCGGCGGCCTACATATATGGTAGCGGACGCGGGCGATTTCTGGTTGATCGTGTTTCGCCGTGGCGCGCGCGGCGTATACGACGCATTACGATTGATACTTACAGCCATGTCTTGGTTTTTGGGGATGTCTTGATTTTTGTTGATTGCCTTGATTTAGAATCGATGCAAAACCAGCCGTCTGACGGCCGGTGGTCTGGGATTGGGCTGGAGCCAAATTGGGCTGGAGTCAAATTGGGCTGGAGTCAAAGTGGGCTGGAGTCAAATTGGGCTGGAGTCAAATTGGGCTGGGCTGGAGCCAAATTGGGCTGGAGTCAAATTGGGCTGGGCTGGAGTCAGATTGGGTTGGGCTGGAGTCAAAGTGGACTGGAGTCAAATTGGGCTGGAGTCAAATTGGGCTGGGCTGGAGTCAAGTTGGGCTGGGCTTGCGCAACTGGCGCGATGGGCGCAACTGGCGCAACTGGCGCAACTGGCCCAACTGGCGCAACGTGCGCAACTGGCGAAATTGGCGCAACTGCCGCAGCTGGCCCAACTGACCCAACTGGCGCAACTGATGCAACTGGCGCAACTCGCCCAACTGGCCCAAGTGGCGCAACTGGCGCAACTGGCGCAACTGGCCCAACTTGCGCAACTGGCGCATCTGGTCCAACTTGCCCAACTGGCGCAACTGGCGCAACTGGCCCAACTGGCGCAACTGGCGCAACTGGTGCAACTGGCCCAAATTGCGCCAGTTGCGCCAGTTGCGCCAGTTGCGCCAGTTGGGTCAGTTGGGCCAGCTGCGGCAGCTGCGCCAATTGCGCCAGTTGCTCCAGTTGCGCCAGTTGCGCCGATTGGGCCAGTTGCGCCAGTTGCGCCAGCTGCGCCATTTGCGCCATTGGCGCCAGTGGCGCAACTGGCGCAAGTGGCGCCGATTGGGCCAGTTGCGCCAGTTGCGCCAGTTGCGCCAGTTGCGCCAGCTGCGCCAGTTGGGCCATTTGGGCCAGTTGGGCCAGTTGGGCCACTGGCGCCAGGTGCGCCAGTTGCGGCCGTTGCGGCCGTTGCGGCCGTCGCGCCAGTTGCGCCAGTGGCGCCAGTTGCGCCGTTTGCGCCAGTTGGGCCAGTTGCGCCACTGGCGCCAGTGGCGCCAGCTGCGTCAATTGCGTCAGTTGCGCCAGTTGCGCCAGTTGCGCCAGTTGCGCCGGTTGGGCCAGTTGCGCCACTTGCGCCAGTTGCGCCAGTTGCGCCCGTTGCGGCCCTCTCGGCCGTTCCGCCAGTTGCGCCAGTTGCGCCAGTTGCTCCAGTTGCGCCAGTTGCGCCAGCGGCGCCAGTGGCGCCAGTGGCGCCAGCGGCGCCAGTGGCGCCAGTTGCACCAGTTGCGCCAGTTGCGCCAGTTGGGTCAGTTGGGCCAGTTGCGGCAGTTGCGCCAATTTCGCCAGTTGCGCCCGTTGCGCCAGTTGGGCCAGTTGCGCCAGTTGCGCCAGTTGCTCCAGTTGCGCCAGTTGAGCCAGTGGCGCCAGTGGCGCCAGTGGCGCCAGTGGCGCCAGTGGCGCCCGCACCCGATTTCCCCGCAGATCTTCTCCAGATCTCTCCCTAGATACCCACCCGGATCTTCCCAGAGATCTCTCATCTAGATCTTCCTCCAGATCTTTCTGCAGATTTTCCTCCAGATAAAACCACAGATCTTCACCCAGATCATCCCCTAGATCTTCACCCAGATCTTCACCCAGATCTTCACCCGGGTCTTCCTCGAGATCTTTCTTGTAGATATCCCCCAGATCTTCATGTTTCTCCAGATCTTCCTCCAGTTCTTTCCCCAGATCTTCTCCAAATCTTCGTCCAGATTTTCACCCAGATCTTCAACGGGGTCTTCCTCGAGATCTCTCCTCTACTGTAGATATTCCCCAGATCTTTCTCCAGATCTTCCTTCAGATTTCCGGCCCGTCTTCGTCCAGTGAAGGTTTTGGGCCTCTGGGGGTGCTCATGAAGGCTCGAAGGGCACTTCGAACCATTTTGGGGCTGTCTTGGGGCCTTTCGGAGGTATGTAGGAGGCTATATTGCACTCTTTGGCTATCTTGAGCCATCTTGGAGGCCGTCTTGCGCTGCCGAGGGCCCTCTTGGAGCCATGTTGGACCCACCTTGAACCTCTGACAACCTGCCCCCCACTCCCAGGCTCAGGGTGGGGGGGGGGGCCATGGGGAGGGGTCAACACACCCTCCAGATAGCAAGCCCTCTAGCTCACTCCGGAGATATCCAGAGACCTCTTGCCGCATGCGTTTGGGCCCGAGCTTGCTTTGGTTCAAGCAGTTTGAAACAAAGGTTCCATTTTGACGCCGGGGAACATCCCGGCGTCGGCCTTCAGGAGCAGCCACACGCGTCGGCACCGGCGACCTTCACCTCCTTCGCTTCTTCTCTCTCTGATCCATCCTCAGCCCAGGGGTAACGTTGGGGGCGGACACGCTCAGGGGAGGACGCATCGACACCCGATCGCCCATTCATCGCATACTGGGGCCCGATAGCCCACCCCCCGCCCAGGAACGCGCGGACTCGCTGTCGGAGGCCTATCGCCGACCTATCGGCGATGTATCGCCGATTCCAGGCCGATGCTTCTCACCCCCCCCCACAGCCAGTCCATCCCTATCCCAGACATCCGACGATGTGTTTTTGTTGTTTGATTCGCAGAGGTCCCGACCCGCTCCCAGGGGATAGTCCTTGGGCTCGGATATGTTCCATTGTCCCGGGGCCACATAAGGGGCCCCAGAGGCTGAGACGAAGAATCCGCCGGGGGCACTTGGCCTCCTCCTCCTCCTCCTCCTCCATCTCCTCCTCCTCCTCCTCCTCCTCCTCCTCCTCCTCCTCCTCCTCCTCCTCCTAGAATGCCGGGATCCCCCCTGAGCATGTCCCCCCCCCAAAGCGTTGCCCCCCGTCAGCGTCGCCTCCGAGAGCGCCTGGAAGATGCCGCTGTACGAGGAGAAGTTCATATCGCCCCTGGCCATCCGCTTCTCGCAGGAGCGCGCGCGGCCCACCTTCCAGGACGGCCGCCTCGTGAGCCAATCGCTCGCGCAGATCAAGGTGGTCGCGTGGCCCTGGGATCACAGCTCGAAGAAGAAACGGCGGCACAAGCATAAATGCTCGGAGTTCCGCGCGGATTTCTCGGAGGGGCGCTGGGCCACCCTGGCGGCGCCTTCGGCGGCGCCGGGGGTCCTGGCGCGGATCCCAGGGATCCGCGTGGACCGCCGAAAGTTTACGCTTGTGATGTTTTTTCTTGTTCTTGCAGCAGCTACGACGTCCTGCTCGTCGCGCCGTTCCCCACTATCGAGATCATCAGGTGGACGCCGAAGCTCCGGGACGAGGACGGCGAGAAGTGCCTGGACGAGGAGGGCAGGACGATCATGGGAGAGTCCTGCTGGTTCACGCTGGACAACCGTAGGCTCTACTGCCTACAGGCCGCCGCCGCTGGCGCCTGGCCGAAGAGGGCGGCGTGCGTGGTGGACGTCCTGCACGACCTGCCGCTGTCAAAGACGTGCCCGAAGAAGTTCGACACCAGGGACCTGGGCTTCTCGGTCCGCCTCGGGCGCCGCAACGACCAGTTCAACTCTCGCGCCATCTGGAACTGGCAGGAGGTCACGAAGACCGACTGCGAGGACCTCGACGGGCTGGCGGAGGAGGACAGGCTGGCCCTCCAGTGCGTCCGGGAGGACGCCGCCAAGGAGGAATGGGTGCAGCTCGTAGACGTGCCTGGCGACATGCCAGACTGGCGCAGCGTCGAGGACCAGTCCCCCAACGAAGGTGTGGTGAGGCTTCGGGTTGCACCCAGGCTGCCCCCGCAGGTAGTCCTGGCTGGCCTCAACAGGAGGCCCCCCGAGTAGACTGGGACAGTCTCAACACCCCAACCCCTGGGCGCGGAGCGCCAGGGTGTTGAGACTGCCCTGGGCTACTCAGGGGGCTTATTGAGGCCAGCCGGGATTGCCTGGGGGGTGGTCTGTGCGCAGCACGAAGCTTCACCAGTCGAGGACCAGTTCCCCAACAGGGTGATCGAGACGGCGGCCTCGGCAGCTGCGCTGGACGCGTGGCGCGACACCTCCTCAGACCTCCGACGTCGTGAGTTTCTCAATGCGGGGCCCCTGGGATTCCCGGTCCCATTTCTTTGCCCTGTTGGAAAGGCTCGCTCCCTGCAAGGACGAACATTGGAACCATGCTGCTGCGAGGGGCGATGCGGGCATAGGTCGGGGCTCAAGAGACGGGGATCAATGCAAACGGAGGTCAGCCAGAGCGCCGGATCTTGCATTGACCCAGGTTATAATACAGGATCCTGCGGGTTCCTGCAGGATCTTGCAGGATCCTGCAAGGCCTGACTAACCCGGCTTTGGACTGACTCGGGTCAGCAGATCCCCGAATAGGTGGCCCGAGGGTGTCGGAAACTGCTAAGCTCCCAGCCGGCCGCGGCCAAGTACTCCCGCGGCCGGCTTTTCACCCCGAGCCGTTCTTTCTGGACGGCCCCGTGGGGCCTGGGGCGAGGGCTACCAGAGGAAGAAAACGAAGCAAAGCCGCCGCCCCGAGTCTCTCACTGCGTGGGAGGCCTGGGCCCTCGGCCGACGGCGCGGGGGCGGCCGGCGACGGCTCCGACGAGGACGCGGCCGCGGCGCGCGCGGAGCGCAGGGAGCGCAGGCGCCACGAGCGGCACGAGCGGCAGGCGCTCAGCAGCCGGGCAGAGCGGCAGGAGCCGCCCGCGAGGGCGCCCGCGGCCGCGCGGCAGGCGCCGGCCGCGGAGCGGCAGGAGGACCACCCAGAGACCCAACGAGTGGAAGAAAATCAGGGCGGAGGCTCTTCGCAGGTCTCGGCCCCTAGGGGTCGGCATGCCCAGGCAGGAGGGCGTCGTGAGTGAATCAGGGCTTTCGAGGCTTTTCAGACCGTCAAGAAGCGGTTCGGGGCGATGAGCCGATCCGGGGGGCTCCAGATGGAAGATAGCACGGCGTCGGATCTCTGGGCAGGGCCACGGCGAGTGGGCGCCGCAGGCTCTCCATCCTCGAGGGGCAAAGCGCGGCAAAGGGGCACGGCTGCGCTCACACGGCACCACCGCGCCCCTTTCGGCACGCCCCTCACACGCTTTGTGGCCCCATAGGGAGCTCCACCGAAGGCCCCAATGGCTGCGTTCGTATGACACCACCGCACCCATTTTTTTAGCACGCCTCTCACAAGTTTCATGGCCCCATTGGGCGCGCGAGGCCACGACCGCCAAAAAAGGATGTGCCGCTGTTTTTTCCTCGTGCTATCCGCGCGGGCCTCCGGGCGGCGGGCTCGCTGGCGATAGCGGCTACCCGCCGCAGTGGGGCCACGAGCAGCCCCCGTGGGACGACCCGTGGGCGTACCAGCAGATGGGCGCCCCGGGCCCCGACGTGGCGACCTTGTGGCGGGCGCAGCAGCTGCTGCTGCAGGGCGGCATGCCGCCTGGCCCTTTCGGCGCCGGCGGGCTCACGGGCGGCGTGCCGCCGCGGTTTCGGATGCCAGCCGGGGGGTACCAGGACGCCCGAGGCTGGGGCCAGCATCGCCATGAAGCACGCGGATCTTGAGGGAAACGAGTCCTCAGGTTTTTCGCCGCTGTCGGCCTCCGGGGGCCCTCCACGGGCCCCTGGTCCTGGGCCTCCTAGATGGGGTCGGAGCAGACGGGGTCGGAGGATCGCGCCGGATCGCCGGTGCATCGCCGACGCAGCTCGATGTGGAGCCCGATTTCCTTCACGTCGACGTCGCCGATGCATCGCCCACGTCGACGCCTCATCGCCGGTGCATCGCCGGTGCATCGCCGATGCATCGCCGGTGCATCGCCGATGCATCGCCGATGTATCGCCGATGTATGGGCTATGCGGCGCGATCCTCCGACCCCATCTACTCCGACCCCATCTAGGATGCCTACTGGTGCTGAAAGAGAATTGCTCCGGACGAAGACCTGGCCCTTCCCTTAGGACCCGCTTGTGTCGCGGCAGCAGCAGCACGCCAGGGGCTGGCCCAGGCCCGCTGGCGCCGGCCAGTGGAACGCCCCCCGCCAGGCGCCCGAGGCCTCGGCCCCGCAGCCTCGCCCGAGAGCCGCCGCGCAGCGGCCGGCGGCGGCGGGCCCGGGCATGCCGCCCGCGCCGCGCCCGCGCGCCGAGCAGCATGTGGGCGCCGTCCGCGCCGCGCCGTCGCAGCGGCTCGGCCTGACAGGCGCCGGGCACGTCGAGAGCTCCTCGGGCGCGGCCGGCGAAGGCGCGGGCGCCAGCGCCGACCTCGGCCTCGGGCTGCCTCGGGCGGCGGACGGCGACGAGGACGACGACGGGGAGGGGTGTGAGCAGCAGTGACGCCCTCGGGGGCCGAGTTGGGGGGGGGGGCAGGCTCAGGGAGGGATGCGTCGGCCCCCCATCGCCCATTCATCGCCGCTGGCTTGGCATCGCTCGGGCATGTGCCTTTTTCCTCGGCGAGGACCATCCTGGAGCCTTTTCGGTTATCTCTGCGAGAGAATGCGCGCGCGGATCCGAAGCAGGCGGGGGAGTGGACGTCCGATGGCGAGATGGGGGCCCGATAGCCCCGCCACGCCCAGGAGCCTCCAGGTTTGCTATCGGGGGCCTGTCGCCGATCTGTCGGCGATGTGTCGCCGATGCCAGGTCGATGCTTCCCCCCCTTCAGCTAGTCCCCCCCCCATGGTTGCCGCTGACGCTCGTGCTGGCGGGCGCCTCGGCGGCGCAACTGCACCGCGCGCACGCCCTGCACCCGCACAGTATATCTTCTCCTCGCCAGCTCGGGCTGGCGCGATCCGGAGCAGTTGGCCGTGATCGCTGGAGGGAGGAGGGGTGTCATGCCAGTCCCAGACCCCTTCGCGTCGTTCGTGAAGGCATCACCACGGGAGGGTCTGTCTTCCCTGTGTTCGGCCTCTGGGGGCCCTTGGCACGGGCCCCTGGGACCTTCCAAACCGAGTCTGGGTGAGTGGCCAGCCCCTGTGGGAAGGGGTTCAGACCTCTGGGGGTCCACGTCATGAAAAATCGGAGCGGGCCTTCTCAGAAGGCTCGGAAGTCCCTCGGCCTTTTGAGAAGTTCCCCAGGCCTTCCCCGAAGGCACCGTAACTTCCTCGGCAGGCCATCGGGCTTCTGAGGAGCTCTATACCGCCTTCTCCTTGAGAGAGTTTTTCACCCTCTGGGCCAGAACGCGCGTTATGCCCCCTCCCCTCCCCTCCCCCCCTATGTGAATGCCCAGTCGTGCGACCCCCCCTCTTAAGTTTCGTTCAGTGCGTCGCCCGAGCGACCCCCGAGCGTCGCCCGTGCGCCGGCCCTGGTTTGCGTCTCTGTCCCGAATCCCGGCCTCCCAGAGTGCGTGGGCGACACATGGCGCGATTTCGGGATTTCTCTGGCGTTGCGTTAGGGGGGCCCCAAAACGTAACGCTCCCCCCCTCAGTGTGTCCCTGGCACTGCCGCAGTGCGTCTGGCACCACAGTCTGGGGGAGGAGGGCGCTACGTGAATATACAGGGAGGGTCGGGCCGGGCGAAAGGGGGGGATTGGGAAAGGGGGGGTTACGAAATTTGCTGCATGCAGCTGATTTCGGCCTCACCGAGGGGCCCGTTCCTCGATACATGGGCGCCTCCGGCGCCGGGAGGCGCCGGGAAAATCAGCTACGCGAGCTGATTCTCAAACCCCCCCTTTGCTATCCCCCCCTTTCGCCCGACCCGAGAGGGGCCCGAGTCGAGCCGCGAGCTGCGGCGCCTGGCCACGGCCGCGAGGCGGCGGCCTCCCGGGTGGTGGCCTGGGCGGCCTCCTCGCAGTGCTCCCCCGCCGCCCTCCTCGGCGCCCCCCGCCTCGCTCTTGGTTCCCGTCAGCCCCCCTACAGTGGGAGCCCATGCCAAGAATGAAACACCCTGCTTGCCTCCAGGATGCCCTGGGTTTCTTGGGTTTCGATGTTTTTGCTATGGACAGCGTGGCATTCCCACACCAGAAATCAATGGACGTCCTGGGGTCTCAGGGTTGGGTTTCTTGTGGAAGGTTTCTTGTGGTCGAGCTCCTACTGCACTCAAGCTCCTCCGAGATCCCACGCCCAGAAAAATTGGAGCGGGCGGTTTTGGACTGTTTTCGGCCTGCGGGTGCCTCGCCGGGCCCCGCGGCCGTCAAACCACGATTCGGGACGAAAGACCAGCCCTGGAGAGATGGTCCATACCTCTGGGACCCACGCATCGAAAAAGAATGGAGCAGCCGGCTGTCTGGGTCCTGACCGACCGCCAGCTTCTCCTGACCGACCTCCAGCTTCCAGCCTCCGGCTGCCAGCACCCACCATCTGTCGACGCCCCTTTCAGGAGGAGGAAAAACACACAGACACAATTAATCATCGACCCCCCAGAAAATATGGGAAAATATGGGAAGTGGTGGGGAAGACAAAAACCCAGAAAATATGGGAAAATATAGGGACTATTTTTATTTGTGTGTATTTATTTGTGTGTCCTAATTTCCCTTTACCCTTTCCCCGCTTCAGCGACTCCCGACGGCTCAGGCCCCACCGCGCTGCCATCCTAGGGCCAGTCCCGCTGGACTGACATCACGCGCTCGCTCGCTCGCTCGCCCTTCTCAAGCAGTGGCGAGGCGTGGCCTGCCCATCATGAGGCCAAAGAATGTTATGAGGATCGTCTGTGGTCCGAAGGAGTAGCTATTCGAGCATTTCTGGCTGAGACCGTCTTGTTGAAATACATCGGCTTCATGTTCTAAGAAAATTGTTTTTGCGATGAGAACATTATTCCCCAAACAGCTTGCTGAACGGGGTGCTGTTGTGATAGAAGCTAACTCCGGCCGAGGGAAAGGGGAGCAGAGACATCCTCACAAAAATCTGATGGTCCGGGCCGTTTCGCTTGAGACATCCTCACAACTCTCGTTTCTGAGTTGGCCGGGATTGGCCGTTTCGCCTGAGACATCGTCGAAAAGTTGCGCTCCGGGACGCCGCGCGAGAGGTGGTCTGGGCCGTTTCGCTTGAGACATCCTCGAAACTCTGAGCCCCGAGGTGCCGTGCGAGAGGTGGTCCGGCCCGTTTCGCTTGACACACCCTCGCAACTCTGGGCCCGGAGGTGCAGCGCAAGAGGTGGTCTGGCCCGTTTCGCCTGAGACATCCTCGCAACTCTGGGCTCCGAGATGCCGCTTGCGAGGTGGTCCGGCCCGTTTCGCCTGAGACATCCTCGCAACTCTAAGCCCCGAGGTGCAGCGCAAGAGGTGGTCCGGCCCGTTCCTCCTGAGACATCCTCGCAACTCTGGGCTCCGAGGTGCATCGCAAGAGGTGGTCCGGCCCGTTTCGCTTGAGACATCCTCGCAACTCTGGGCTCCGAGATGCCGCTTGCGAGGTGGTCCGGCCCGTTTCGCTTGAGACATCCTCGCAACTCTGGGCTCCGAGATGCCGCGCGAGAGGTGGTCCGGCGCGTTTCGCCTGAGACATCCTCGCAACTCTGGGCCCCGAGGTGCAGCGCAAGAGGTGGACCGGCCCGTTTCGCCTGAGACATCTTCCAATTCTGAGCTCCGAGATGCCGCTTGCGAGGTGGTCCGGCCCGTTTCGCTTGAGACATCCTCGCAGCTCTGAGCCCCGAGGTGCAGCGCAAGAGGTGGTCTGGCCCGTTTCGACATCCTCGAAAAGCTTGGCGCCGAGATGCCGCGCGAGAGGTGGTCTGGCCCGTTTCGCCTGAGACATCCTCGCAACTCGGGGCTCGGAGCTGCCGTGCCAGAAGTGGTCTGGCCCGTTTCGCTTCAGACATCCTCCCAACTCGGACTCAGAGATGCTGCGCGCGAGTTCGTCCGGCCTGTTTCGCATGAGACATCCGGCCGCATCTGAGTCCCGATATGCCGCGCGAGAGGTGGTCCAGGCCCGTTTCGCCTGAGACGTCCTCGAAACTCTGACCTCCGAGATGCCGCTCGCGAGGTGGTCCGGCGCGTTCCGCCTGAGACATCCTCGCAACTCTGGGCTCTGAGTTGCCGCGCGAGAGGTGTTCCAGCACGTGTTGCCTCGCACATGCTCCAAACTCTGACCTCCTAGATGCTGTTCGGGAGGAAGAGGTGGTGGAGAAGGAGGAAGAGGACTAGGAGGAGATGGACGGGAGGAGGAGGAGGAGGAGGAGGGAGCAGGCTCTGGGCTCCGAGTTCGCCTGACAGTGCCGACCCGACAACTTACTCGTCGACCAGGTGCGAAGGAGGGAGGAGGGAAGAGGGAAGTAGAACGACACCCTCAAGCGCTGGCTTCATGAGAGGCATGCGTCACACAAGCTGTTGTGAAACATTCCAATGTGCAAACATCATGCTCTCGTGTTTTAACTTGTCATGCCAGCCCACACTGGACGGGCACACAATCGACTTTGGAAACCACAATGAATATAAAACATCCTGTTTGGGGATACTGCACTCCGGCTATAATTTCGTCCTACGAACATGTCGTGGTAGGCCCAGAGAAATGTTGGGACGATGGGTCCATGCTCAAGCTACGGTACATTCGTACCGTGTCGACCAGCGGCGACCCCGCCGCCAGCGTTCAACGTTCAACGCCGCCGCCGACCTAGAATCGGTCGATGCTGAGCGATCTGACGTTTCGGGGACGGCCGATCGTTCAAGACTGAACCATCCCCGCGGTGTCAGGAACCGGCGCCGAACTCGGCACGACACGAACTTGCCGTATTCTTGATATCCGGTGACATGTTGTTTTGCAGGAGGGAAAGAAACACACAGACACAATTAATCGTCGACTCCCAGGAAAATATGGGAAAATATGCGAAGTGGGGGGGAAGACAAAAACCCAGAAAATATGAGAAAATATGGGGAATCTTTTTATTTGTGTGTATTTATTTGTGTGTCCTGGGGCCCCTTCAGTTTTGCCATCCGCGGCCCCAGAGGTCCCGACATGTCCCGACCCCATACCCGGGGGGCGAGGCTTTCGTCCCCAGATCCATTCCTGCTGGTCCCGGAGCCCGATGGCGAGCCCCAGGGGCCGAAGTCGAGGAGGAATGCCCAGATTGAAATGCGTAGCCACCGTCGGATATTCGGGTCTCCCTCCCCCTTCTCCCTCTCCCTCCCTCTGCTCCCTCTCGCCGCCTTCTCTCCCCGCTCGGGGGCGGCCACGAGGAGGGTGATGATTAGGGACGGGGTAGATATCATGGCTGGGGCCATGATGTCTCCTCGGAATTCATGGCCCTCTTCTTCTGTCAATGCGTCCCCTGGCCCACCCCTGAGCCGCGCTCATGCCTCGGGCCATGATCTGCGACCCCCCCTCCTGGACGCCCCCCTCTTGGACGCCCCCGACCCGCCCCTCCCTCTGCCTCTGCTCGCTGGCGATTTGATTAAGTCTTGACCCGTCTCGCCCCCTCGTGGCAGATCGTGGGCCAGTGCTTGTTAGAAGCACACGGCTAGTCCACCGGTGAGGGGGAGGCATTGCAAGAGGCCGCTCCGCAGGGCAGCGGAGGCTCTCGCTTCTGCCGGTATGCCGTCTCAGGGGTTCTGGGGAGCCACGCGCGCGGCGAACTCAGACCCCGTCGCGTCGGGAGCGGCCAAGAGGGGGGTGATGACGGGGGGGGGGACACCATGGCCAGGGCCATGATATCTCCCCAGAGTTCTTGGCGCCTCTGTTCATTTCAGCAAGTCCCCTGTCCCCGACCCTGGGCCGCACACGTGCCTCGGGCCATGACTTGCGAACCCCCCATCTCGGACGCCCCCCCCCCCCCCCTCCCCTTGGACGCCTCCGACCTCGCGTCGGAATAAAACCACGACGGCCTCCGTCGGGGGACTCTCGCAAGCCCCCGGGGACCCTGAAGAAGGACTCTGGATGAAAGGCCGGTCCCGAGAGGAAGATCGAGATCTCTAGGGATAGACGCTGCGAACAAAATTCATGACGTCGGGGGTCGCTGGGAGCGTATCCATACCTACGCTCTCGCGGTCTGGATTCCGGGGCGTGATCCCGTGGATATGCGGTCGCACGGATGAGTCTCGCGCGGGGCATCAGCGAATAAACGCCCGCATCCGTGGGTCGCGGCCCATGGGCCTGGCCGGCGAGGTCGTGGGTAATTGCGGAGATGTCTTCCGCCCACGAGTGAGGAGGGGTAGTTGGCTCATCCTCGTCTTGCTGACGCCTGGCGCTGGTGGCAGGTTCTAAACGAGGGACACACACATTTTTATGAATGTGCAGCACTTTCGAAGGTCCGTGTGGACGGGTCGGCGCTGGACTTTCCTGGCGGCGCCTCGGGCGTCGTCCCTCCGCGCGCCAGGGAGGGTGGCCAGCGCCGATCGAAGAGATTCGCGCGGACCTCCGAAAGCATATGCATATGCTGATTTGTTGTCCTTCCGGGTACGTCCGAGGGCCTATACCATCGAACCCCTGGCCCCGACCTGCTGCTGGGAGAGGGAGGGTGAGAAGTAACCCTCAGGCTGAAGGTACCCGTTGGTCGTTGAAAGCAGATATTTTTGGATCCTCAGATTCCAATCTATTTTGAGCGCCTTCCTACTTCAATGCTCGAGTGGTTTCCCCAGTTCATTCCTCTTTAGGGGGCGGGCGGAAGCCCAATCTACTCCCAGCGTCTTTCTACTCAATATTTCGATCCATTTTTTCCGACCGACGGGTAGGCTTGAAAAGGAGGAGAAGGGGGAACGGCGACACGCTGGGAGGCATTCTGAGGGCGAGAGAATCGTGCGGACGGCTAACAGGCGGGCAGTGCACTTTGTAGGGCGACGATATCTATACATATCCACTGCTCCTGGCCAGGCCAATCCTGGGCCCAGGAGCGGTGTATACGCCCTCCTGGCCTGGCCAGGGAGGCATATACACAGCTCCTGGGCCCAGGATGGGCCTGGCCAGGAGCAGTGGATATGTATAGATCTCGTCGCCCTATAAAGAGGCCCTACACGGCCCTTCAACTGCCACCGCGGGCCCAAAAGGTACACCAAAGGACCACGCCTCTGCACCCTCCGCGTACTGCCGCACGTGAACGCTCGGCAGCCAGCCGAGGGGTCAAGTGAGAGGAGGCGGGTCTTCTCAGAAGGCTCGGAATTCCGCCGGCCTTCCGAGAAGTTTTCCAAGCCTTCCCCGAAGGCACAGAGAATTTCTCAGAAGGCCCGAGGGCTTCTGAGAAGCCCCGCCGCCTCCTGAAAGGGCCTTCTCCTTCTCACTTCCCCCTTCGCCCGCCGCCGATGATTGCCCCCGTTAGCAAGCACCCGAGAGAAGGGAGGGAGGGGGGGGTACGGGTACAGTCGAGCCGAGGTATAAGATCGAGGACGGCTCGGGGAGTGTACCCTGATGTTCTTCGTGTCTGCTGGATGTTCTCGTGCATCCTTGGAAGGGTACCCTTGGGTGCTCTGTGTGCTTGGGCAGGCGGAGGGCCTCATGTTCTCGAAAGATGTTTTTTTTGTCCCAGTTCCGACCGTAAGCGCCTCCTCCTCCTCCTCCTCCTCCTCCTCCTCCTCCTCCTCCTCCCTGGGAATGTACCCTGAAAGGGCCAGCCTGCGGCCCCCGAAAGTGCTGCACGGCGGACGGAGGAGGCAGTCCGGAAAGAGAGGAAGCAGCACCTCCTCCGCTCCTCTTCCTCTCTCCCTTTGGCGGCACCCCAGCATACTGATGATGGGCCTATTGTCCACCACCACCACCATAAGTTGGAGGGGAAGGGGGTCTTCCTCCTCCTCCTCCTCCTCCTCCTCCTCCTCCTCCTCCTCCTCCTCCTTCCCCCCTCCAACTTATGGTGGTGGTGGCGGAAAACAAGCCCAGCATACTGATGCTATGTGTGCTTCGCCCCTTCGGGGCGACGCGCGCGCCCAGACATCTCACAGTATGTGCGTCGTGGCGGGCGCTTTCTGGCCGTGCCGCTCGGGTAACGATATGCTGCAAGATGGTTGTACTGTATGTTCGGGTCGGACGCACGCCCCCGATGAGGACAAGAGGTACTAGTGTGTCCTTGTGCGTCCCATCCCTCTTCTCCCCGCCTTTCCGTCGAAGACGCCCACGGCGAATCACCGCCGCCCCCTGCCTTCTGTGAAGCGCCTCTGTGGCGAAACGTTAGGCCCCAGCTTGGCCAAGCTTGTCGGCCATCTTGGCTGTCTTAGCGCCGATGGGGCAGTTTTTCTGCGGATTCTGCGGGCTTTGGGATGGCCGTCGCAATGGACCGACGCCCCAGGGGGATTTTTTTGTGAAAAGAACCAAGATCAAAAACCGTCAAACATTCAGCACCCCAGGCACCCTTGTGCAAAGCCAACAGGAGTCGGCGGATCGAAGACGCCTACGGCGAATCACCGCCGCCCCCTGCCTTCTAGAATCGACCATGTGGCCGAGCGTTGTGGCAAGAGCTCCGCCAAGCTATCGGACCATGTGTTCCCCCAATCGTTGTGGAGGAGGAGGGGGAGGAAGAGGAGGAGGAGGAGGAGGCGGAGGCGGAGGCGGAGGCGGAGGCGGAGGCGGAGGAGGAAGAGAGGTAGAAGGAGGATGAAGAGGAGGATGAGGAGGAGGAGGAGGAGGAGGAGGAGGAGGAGGAGGATAGGAGAAGGAGAAGGAGAGGGGAGAGGAGGGAGGGGAGGAGGAGGAGGAAAGGAGGAGGAGGGGAGGAGGAGGAGGAGGAGGAGGAGGGAGGAGAAGGAGAAGGAGGAGGAGGAGGAGGAGGAGAAAGACGAGGAGAAAGAGGAGGTGGAGGGAAAGGACGAGGACGAGGGGGGGGGAGAATGAGGATGATGATGATGATGATGATGATGATGGATGATGATGATGAGGAGGAGGAGGAGGAGGAGGAGGAGGAGGAGGAGAGGGAGGAGGAGGAGGAGGGAGGAGCAGGAGAGAGAGGAGGGAGGATGGAGGGAGGAGTAGGAGGAGGAGGAGGAGGAGAAGGAGGAAGGAAGCGGAGGAGGACGAAGAGGCGAGGAGGAGGAGGGTACGAGTGAGGAGGAGGAGGAAGGAGGAGGAGAGGACGGAGGACGAGGACGAGACGAGGACGAGGACGAGAGAGAGAGAGGAGGCGGAGGAGAGGAGGAGGAGGAGGAGAGGAAAGGAGGAGGAGGAGGGAGGAGGAGGAGGAAAAGGGGGAGGAGGAGGAGGAGGAGGAGGAGGAGGTGGAGGAGGAAGAGGAGGAGGAGGAGGAGGAGAAGAAGAAAGAGAGACAAGGAGGCTGCCCGGTCCACCAAGGCCAAAATCATCACAATATGCGTCGTCGCCGTCGCCGTCGTCGCACGCTGTTGCCGTCGCCGCTGTCGCCATCGTCGTCGTTGTGCCCAGCGGCACGGTGGCGGATCCCCTTCTCATCGTTTTAATGTGCCATTCTTACCCGAGTCCTGAGACGGCATGCTACAAACCTGGCAGAACACCGATCGGGGCCTGCACATCAGCTGCGAAGCAAGCTACAAGAGGTGGCCGTTTTCTGGAGGCCATCTCCTGACCTTTTTCGGGCCGACTTCGTTCGGTCCACGAATGACTTTAGAAAGTACTGTCCGTAGCCCACCTTGTACCTCATCCCCCCATTCCTCCTTGCCCGATCCGCTCCTCCTCCTCCTCCTCCTCCTCCTCCTCCTCGTCCTCATCATCATCATCATCATCATCATCACCATCATCATCATCATCATCATCATCATCATCATCATCATCATCATCATCATCATCATCATCATCATCATCATCATCATCATCATCATCATCATCATCATCATCATCATCATCATCATCATCATCATCATCATCATCATCATCATCATCATCATCATCCGCATCATCATCATCAGTGAACGTTCGATAGAACAGCGGGTTTCCTCGCGGTTCAAAGCCTCCCTCTCCCTTGTGTGCATCCTCCTCCGTCGCCCTTTGCTTAAGGCCGCTCTAGGAGCGGCCCCAGTATTTTTGGAGGTGGGCAGGCGGGGCCATAGCTCGCTGGCCCAGCCAGAGGCGCAGCCGAGCAGTCCGAGGAGTGTTGGGCAGTGGCTGGGCCAGGTCCCCCCTCCAGTGCGGGCGGGGGCTCCGGAGGGGAATCCCGCGGCCCGCGGCGGACGCTTTCAGGCGCCCGCGGCCTGAAGGGCTGTGGCAACAGGGAGGGATGAGGCCTATGCACGGCCTGGAGTGCACCCTGGCTCTGGCCATGGGTGCACTGGCGACATGGCTCGACGTCTCGTTCGGAGTCAATTGGTACGCCACGGTCCATGCGTCCGCTACTATGACCGCCGGACCAGAGGAGGGAAGTCATGAGCGTGCAGGGCCAG